GAAACCAACTATGCTATTTTAAGGAAATGCGATTTTCAAAATAACGCCCATGTGCGTTATTTCGCGTAAATACGGTACATTTTATTTTGTGAAAGCATTTACGCTCTTTTCTTGATCGTATATGCTCTTCTTTTGAGCGTGTACGCTCTTTTTAAACGTATATGCTTTTTTTTTGAACGTATACACTCATGGCACAGAGATCAACAAATTGTGTAAGTACGTATACGCGGTTTTTTAAGCTATACGCACTTGCATAGAATAAGCTACTAAGCCACAATCAAACTGCCATTCCATTTTAGTATACTTGATTAAAATATTTACACGATACGAAAAAAATCAGTTACTGCTATGAAAATGAAATTGTGAAGAGCTATATACATAAAAATAGTGAAAATAAAAACTATACTGATATAGAAATAAAATAAAAAAAGAAATAAAAATTTTATTCTTTACACTATGTTTAATTAGTATCGACTTCTGTATCTTATTATAGTGGCATAATAAAACTTAATTAAATCCTTTTCGGTAGTCTTTGTATTATTTGTTTGTTTTCCTAATATTTTTGTCATGTTTATTCATTCAAACTAATTATGCTATATTAGTATCTTTACCAACTAAATATATCTTCTGTTGAAATTTCGTTATTAAAATTACAATACTTGGTCTGAATGACTGATGGCTTATTTTTTGAGTAACAAAACCAAAAGCTTTTAAAAAAAAATTGAGAAAAAACAACCCTTTTTAACTTTAAAAGGCAAAGGTTTTATGAATTCCAATAGAAAATGATTAATGAATGAATTATTTATCATTAACTTTCGAAAGCCAATAAAATTTTAATAATAAATTACTTAAAAATTTTATTTAAATATTTATAAATAACATTACGTGGATTGGTGAAGACTGAGTAAATTTTTAATAGATGTTTTAATTTTTGATTAAGATTCTAACCTAATAAATAAAAAAAGGTATTACATAACGAACAGAGCTAGGATTTTGCCTTCAGTAGGGATGGTAAAATTTTGATATAATTAAAAAAATTATGCTAATTATACTACAGGTATAATAAAATTGAAAAATGAAATTTGCAAAATCTAAATATGACAAGAATTTGCCGGAAAATCTGAATTCATGAAAAAAATTGGCAACATCTGAATACTTGAAAAAAAATTGGCAAAATCTGAATTCACGAAAAAAAATTGGCAAATACTTGAAAAAAAATTGGCAAAATCTGAATAAATGACAAAAAAAAAAATAAACATGACAAGTAAATTACCAAAATCTGAATACATGAAAAAAATTTGGTAAAAATCTAAATATGACAAGCAAGTTGGCAAAATCTGAATATGACAAGAAAATTACCAAAATCTGAATACATAAAAAAAAAGGAAAATTAATAACAAAAGGTCATAAAATCTGGATATCATAGACACTGATCAGAAATTTACTGAACCTGGATCGGTTACAAGCTACATAATTTGCTTCTCACTTTTTGGAAAGTTGTCTCCTCCGAAAACTTCAGGAATTTTGAAAGAGGAGTATTTTCCTTCTGGATTATCACGAAAGGAAATATTTTTACATGTGCAAAATTCAAGCAAGTTATTATATTCACCTAGTTGTAACTTCAGAAGAATAAATAATGAGTAAATATATATAATTATATAACATACCATTCATATAATATTGAATGGCAAAATATGATTTAACTTTAGCTGTCATGACTTTCCATAAATGTTCTGTAAAATAAGTGATCCTACGATAGCTAGTTTTATGCAAAAAGCAAGATTCATCATCACATTTCGATTTTGTTCTTAATGAACGTCTGAGCATGGTCTTGAAAAGTAAGAAACATGGCTTTTGATCACAAACATCTTTGTGTAAAGTGTTAATAATAGGTACAGAAATAAAATGAGAAATAGACGGGCATTGAAAGGATATTATGAATCGATTGCCCGGAGGTGATTCGAGAGAAAATACTATATCTTTAATTACAACTATCTTTTTAGTTATTGCCATGTTCGTTGCGCTACTATTATTAATGTTTATGTTTTAATGCGACAGCCTCAGGATATAACCTAACAAAATTCATCAACCATAATTTTGATTGCGTCAATAGTATACAGCCAGTATCTCCACAGTTCCATGACTTTGTTCGAGATTTTTTTAATACATAACGGAAATTAAAGAATTTGTTGCTTCGTTGGCACCGCTTAAAAACATCTGGCAGGATATTTGTATGAAGTGGAAGAGAATGTGATGTGAAGTCACATTCAAAAGAAATAAAGATGCGATTTCCTGGAGGTAATTCACGAGAATATATTATTTCCTTAGATTCAGACATGATGCAATAGAAGCAAAAGTAAATTTAAAGCATTCGCCCTTTGTGAACAATTTATAATAACGCAATAGGAGCAAAAGTAAAT